CCGTTTTTTCACATATCCTTACGTGGCTCGGTCTTGGCCATACAATGCTGAAAATCCGACCTCAATATCTGTTTCCGATCTCAAGTTATTCAACTTACCGTATCCCATCTTCTATTTTGAAGCGGATAGTAGAAAGATATTTACAAAGCAAATAGCTGATGTATTTACCTGATTCTGCTCATTATCGTCTGATTGGCGTCCATCGGCAGATTTTTGAATCGCAGAGATGACACGAAGACAATACTTTAACAAAACTCCAGTAAAAATTGAAACATATAATCTAAATGCAAGCAAAGTAGAGTTTTATAAATTAAGCAGGTAGTTAGTTCATCTTCTCCTTAGATAATCATACGTTTTTCTTTCATTACCAGATGATATTCCAATTTCTCTATCTATAGCGCATCATAAGCCGTTGACGAGAAAATCTACTCAGATATCTTCTTCAAATTCCAAGAATCCTTTCATATTTACACGGTAAATAGTCATCTATTACACCTTCGCAGACGGATCGTTTTTTCTGCACTCCATAATAAATCAATAAACATTTATATTTCCCATGGGAACTTTACTATGCGGGACGAATTGATGCAACTCGAACGTGAATTATGGGATCCTGTCGTTCATGCATATGTTCATGTTAAAATTCTCATTGCATGCGATGCATAGCTCTAAATAATTGACCGCGAGAACTGCTCATTATTCATCGGTTACTAGCGTGCCATTACAATCTCGGCATGTTATGATAGTACAGAAAACCGTTTATCAAAACGTAGACCCGTAGATGCATATATTCAATCTCAATTATTTACATAAAACTTTCATATGACAGCGGTTCCTATTCATCATATACGAATGAAGACCACGTCATTCGCACTGTTGGATTGCGGACAGACTCGTCCTTATAGCTGAGGTTTTACTGAAACAAACTTCGTAATTCTTGATATTTTATTCGTCTACACACGCCTGTTCACTTCTAAGCCGAAGTATGTATCCACCTACTTTAACGCTTCTTCCCTCCAAACCCATAATCTTAAAATCGATCCCAGTCCACAGACGTTCAGATGAGCATTTAATCATCTACTCTACCTACGCAACAAACGAAGGTTCCGAATCATACAAATAATTATATTGTCAACAAATGAAATTGATTTTCCTTTTTCTCTTTAATTTTAAAAAGAAAGAATGCTCCCATCATTAAAGGTAAAAGGACTCAAAACAAAATAGCGTAGCATATTACTCTTGATTTTTATTCTTACTTTGGTCGTATGTAATATGAAATGAAATGAAATGAGAGAATGCTTAAAACGTGAATCGATTCAGTGGCGAAATATTGTTGCTGATGTGTGTTTTTATCTTTATCTATAGGCAAAAAAACACGTATTCTACCAAACCCATCAAAAAGTTTCGTAGACACTCAAAGCTTCCAAATGTGTCGACATGTTGAAAAAAATGGTTTTCAAAAATCTATGAAACCAGCAAAGGATCGGTCGGCGGATACACGCTCCGAACCCTCGCCACGGAACCTTTTTAAGTTTCACACAAATCGATTGAAGTTTCGTATTTTGTGGCGAAACTTTCTTGATGGGTTTGGTAGAATACCTTTTTTTTTCAGTCCACCTTTATCGTTAAAGGTAAGAGCAGTAATTGGAGAAAGTAACGAAATAGAAAAGATATTTATTCTTACTTTAGCCAGGTATGAAATTAAATTATATGAAATAAAACAGAACGAAATGAGAACATACCTGTAATGTGAATAGATTCGATGGCGAAAGATTGTTATTGATGTTTGTTTTTCTGTTTACCTATAAGTACAAAGAACATAGAGGGCATGGCAAATCTCAAATTGAAACCAATTTTCGCGAAAGTGCTCCCTCTGATTTCTGCTTATCAACAGAAATTTACTAGCAGCCATTCTTTCCGCATGATACTGTAAAACATATCGCCCGCGCAATTCATCAATTTTCAACTTCACCATCATTCCCTAATATAATTTTCTTCAGCTCCATTATCTGAAACACCTCATATGAATTCAATCATTACTATAATTGTACACAAAGCAACTGCACTTATTGTTACTACCAGAAATCAGAAGTTTACTTTTGCATGTAAATTCTCAGGAATTTTCACATCGAATGAACGAAAAGCGGCACAATGGATCGATCCTCATCATTTTTGACCGCTACCAGAAATCAGAAGTTTACTTTTGCATGTAAATTCTCAGGAATTTTCACATCGAATGAACGAAAAGCGGCACAATGGATCGATCCTCATCATTTTTGACCGCTACCAGAAATCAGTAGTTTACTTTTACATGTAAATTCGGTGTATATGAATGGCTGCTTTAGCTAAGCTTATTCTTTTTCCTTTCCTGTGATCGTATGTTGTATGTTCTGCGTATCTGTATAGATATATATATATGTGTGGATTTGATGTGCCTCGAATCAGCTGTAACGAAGATTTTTTTCGTTCCTGCTGTTCGAGGGCTCGTATCATATGACTTTACAGATGTTGTCAGCTGTTAGGTTCGTGATTCTTGACAACCTTGAGAAGTGCATGTAAATTTGGCTTCGTTTGGTTGATATCATCTTGATATGTTTTGGATGTGTTTGGATATGTGATAAGTGAAAGTGCTGGATTTTTTCGAAAGCGATGCCTATATTAAATGTTGAGACTTGAAATAGAAGTACCTTACACTTGTAAAACGATATCGTTGGCTACGAACCGAATACTTTTCTCAAACATTTTGCATCGCGTTTTATTTCCATACTTTAAACAAGGTATGACGATGTTGGTATTTTCTAACGATGGGTATTATCAATGCGTTTATATTGCTAGCAACATGTCAAAACGTTCGTCAGTATTGGATGATAAAGAGCTTTCGAAAATGGTCTTGGATAACTTAAAGATCGCTGCTGGAATGAATTTCCGAATGGAAGATGTTTTGAACAAGGAACAAATGCGAATGCTGGAAGCTTATCGAGAAATATACACCTATGATCCGTCTTTGTCTTTCTTTCTTTCTCTGGGAATGATATCTCATTTCTCTCAAAGTTCATACTACACCCATTACTCCAGTTCAGATCGTTACATTGTTCAATTATACATGTGGCTCATTGGAGCAAGCGGTGAGTATTTCCAATGTGTATCAAAAGAATGTTGAATAATATCATAATACAACCGTTAGTAAGAGAGTTAATGAAGAACCTTGTGTTATTTTTCTCACAGAAGTATATCGTGGAATGAGATATTTTTCCATTAGAGAAATTTTTGACCAGGAGCAATGCTTTTGGTGAAACTTGCATTAGAGATCAGATTGATATGTTACATCAGCTAGTTATTTGTGTTACTTGAGTTAACTCAAAAAGTACATATCACATTAAATTTTTATGAACGCTTTTGTTTTTGTATTTGAGGAAGTGGGAAAAGCCATGCCTTTCGTCAAGTCGACAAGGCGATTACGAAAACGGAGAATTTATTTCCATCTACTTATCTGAAACCTATGATGATAAATGGATCATTAACGGAATCGCCGGTGTCTTCTATTGTCACGCATACAAACCACATTGGTCTACGACAACATCTATCAACAAATCACAAAATATTACTGAACGATGATGCCGATCTCATCGCGGAAAATTTTGGATTGTATAATGTGTCTGATTCTAATAAAGAACACGAACGGAATGTCATTCTTTGTGGATACGATGGGTATGCAAAAGAATATTAAAAGATGTATCAAACAGTTGGATTTTTTAAGGTTTAAAAACTCTTCTCGTACTACTGGTACAACCATGATACATATAGGTGATAAGCGATTGACGATACTCATTGCGACGACAGGTGGAAAATTACTGAAAAATTTGCGAAATTGGAGCAATTTGACAGGATTTGACGGAACTCACAATCGGTTTATCTACATGGCCATTCCGAAAAAGATTCATACTAGGCCACAGAAGTAAAGACTTCTTTGCAGAATTCAATGCATAAAAATTCGAATGCATTCATTTCTAGTTTTCAGAGAAAGAGATATTCTTCAAATAATCCGTCATTTAATCATTTATGCGTTATTGTCCATCTATTTGGAACAGTACGATATGTTTTCGAAATGACGGAATCTGAACGAGAAAATATCTATGGTGGTACGTAATAATATAACATTGAGCACATTTGATGTTCTTTTGACCTATTGTCTTTTAGCTAAATTTGACCACTTGTTGAATACAGATGCTAGAACGCAATCTCAATCACAAAACGATCGTTCCGCCCTGTATACATTATGGAATCTCATAGCAGATCTGAGCGAATCAAATGACCTAGTACATGATCAACAACGACAGATTACTGATTTCTATGAGAAAATTCCTGCTACCGTTCCTCGCATTGCTTGTCTTACGCAAATGTTTTTCAATGCAATGAGTATTTTGAACGAAGTACATGAAAGTGTTATATTTTCGGATGGAGACGATGATAGCTTGTCCATTGATGAGAATTTCATTAAAACTGTTCAGAACATAATTAAAGAAAAATTTTATGTGTATGACATGACATATTTACCGTATACCACGATTGATCAAACAAAAACGGACCCGATGATTATCGTTCGTAAAGAGGCAGTGCTGGTTGCATGGAAATGGTATGAACATCATCTGGACCTGGTGACAACATTATTTACCATCAACTATTCGTTTTCTACTAAACCTGTGACAACACATAAATCAGAGCAGAAGAATTTGAAACGATTGATCATGCTGTTAGATTTTAACATCTTTCCATTGTCAGTATTGACAGATAGGCATCCTATCACTAAGCAAACGTAAGCTCACTCATCTTTCTAGTCATTGGAGCATAGCTGAATATATTTATTTATCATTTGAAGGGGAATTTTGAAAAACAGACCAGCATTAGGTGAGCAGGCTTTACGCGAGTTGATCAATAATGGCTTATTGAAGTTCAATCATTTTTTGATCGATTCTCGAGGAAGAAAATTAAAGTCATACATGAAAATCCCGCTAACAACGATCAATGATCCATCACGAGAATTATTGAATAAAGTTTTAATTACATGCGGTGTAAGTGTTGATGAATATGCTTCAGTTTACAATCAATCTTCAATTCCACCAAATTACAATCTTTCACCATTATCGGTGGAAATATTTAAATATAGCTCATGTTTTATTCCGGCTTACAAACAATATCTAAACCAATTACAAACTGTAATTCATGAACACATCCAGAATAAAAACATAGAAGAAGTCGAAGACGGATGTTTTGTTATCAAAAACAAAAGTGTATTTACTCGTAACTACAGTGGCGTTGAAAATTTATCATTTTGTAATCCACAAAAAGCATTACGTGACATTTCGACATCAAACAATATCGCCAACGCAACAACTAATTCTGTAATTCAATTAGAAAAGGAAATGGTTTCTGGACTTGATATACCACCGTGTGAAATCAATCAACGGGAATGTGGAATGAGACCTCAAGANTTTGTTATCAAAAACAAAAGTGTATTTACTCGTAACTACAGTGGCGTTGAAAATTTATCATTTTGTAATCCACAAAAAGCATTACGTGACATTTCGACATCAAACAATATCGCCAACGCAACAACTAATTCTGTAATTCAATTAGAAAAGGAAATGGTTTCTGGACTTGATATACCACCGTGTGAAATCAATCAACGGGAATGTGGAATGAGACCTCAAGATCCAGATGAGGCATCGGTTAATGAGCATCACACTGACGTCATTCGTAGTAATTGATTATCGACCTTTTGTTTCAGTCGTTTATGCCTTGTATTTAGAAACACCTGAACTTCGTATTTCGCACATATCAAGAGAGCTTGATGATTCTTCCGTATCTACATCTGATCGTCAGATTGAAATTCAGGTATCCAATGAAGGTAGTGACGAAACATGCTCTTCTATATCAATATCAGGTGCAGTCAAGAAAGGTTTGTGCATAAGAGTTTCTTACTTTTCTTCTTGAACTGTCTTCATATGACTCTTTAGTAAGCAAAACGGACAGTAGAGAGCTAGAGCAGCAAGTGATTCGAGCAATGGGTAACATACTATGTGGCCCATCTGTTGTCTATACAAAGACAGATATGACTCATCTGTGCAATAAACCAACAGTACGGCTAGAAGCAATCCAACGTCTAATTGCAGCTGAATTACTTCAGCATGGTAATAACTATTGGTTGGAACCAAGCCGTTCAAAGAAAAATGATAAAAAAGATTCAAAGCGTCTTTTGAGAGAAGGATGGATGAAGTAACTACTTAAATAAAGCTTTTTATCTAAGCGAAGAATTTCTCATTTTATTTTGAAGGAAAGTTCCTGCATTGGAATCAGATGCATCGAAATTCGAATTCATTGAGTTATTGCAGGAGAAAGTAACAAAACATTCGTTTAAAAGATTTCCGACTGATAATATGCATCTGATTTTCATTTTATCATAGGCAAACATAACTTTTGAAGATTACATGAGAAGCTTTTATCCACATCAAAGTGTTAATGTATTCACCAAAAATAATTGGACCTTATCAGATGAGTGCATTCAAATTTTTCAATCAAATGATTTTTATAGGGAACATGTTCGTTGGGATGTCGTGCGTTTCGGACCATCAGATGCTTTGAAAGAAACCAATATAAATGAAGAAAAAGAATTGCCATTGACACAAATATCTTGTCCGTCATCCTGCCAGAGAATAGAAACAGCTGATACGTGTCAAGTACAAACAACATCAGAACAAACACACATTAGTATTCCTCAAGTAAATGAAACAATAAGTACATTACCTGTAACTGTACGACCAAAACGAAAAGTACGAATGATTGAAGATCAAGAAAATGAAGTACGAACACAACCCAGAAGAGCCAAGAAAAAGTAACGAATTATTCGTATAACATTATCGTAGACTTTTCCCTCAGATTCCTTTTTATCTGACTACAATTGAGTCGTCAAACATTTTATACCATTAGTTTCTTTTTATTGTATTTACCCCTACGAAGTTTTTACGGAATTTCGAAATAAAAAAACAGAACCGTTATTCGAACAATAATATCCACATCATCAATTGTTAAATCGAGAAGTATTCATTACCTGTAATACTCATTTTAAGAAATTGTAGTGCATTGTAATGCATTTCAATGAAAAACGTTTTTATGAATAATAATTTAATGATTCCGACAGCTGCATGATAATAGAAAGGATATACAATTGGAATTTAATATTCTTACGAACCGTTTCAGATAAACATGAATACCAATTCTGCAGCTTCATCAGCACGTAAGCTTGTGGAAATCACAGATGAAGAACATACTTTAATATTAATGATGAGAAAAATGCGTTTGGATGAAATTATGGTCGTGATGAATTTGAATAATTCTTTTCCGGTGGAAGTACCAAATAAGTATCGACATATAAGAAATATCATTAATTTATACTTTCAAAAATCGTATGAAATTCACCATGTTCGAACAATAATTGAATTTATTTCAACACACCCATTGTATGCCGCAATATTTCAGCAACATTCTTTACGTCAAATGCTTGATCAATATCGGACAAATAAGATTGCGGAATCTGTAAATGCACATGAATTATATTTGCAACCATTTAGCACCAAATGCATCGAATGTCAAACAACTTTGAAGCCCGCATATACTCATCGGGCCAAAACAGTTATGTCGTTGACACGAACATTTAAAGCTCGTAAGTGAATATCTCGTATTTTGTTGATTATACATAAATTGCTTGCATTTCTATCAACAGTTATTGCCACTTGTTATTGTTCAATCTGTGATCTGGAGATATTTCCAAATTTTTATATATATAAGAAAAAGAAATTTGTTACTTCCGAATCCATCAAAAATGATAAATATATTTACTTGAACGGCAACCAGATATTTGACCAGAATTTATTGATTGATTTTGATCAGCATTTAATTCAAAACACAGTATCCTTCGAAGGATACACCAATGCTTATAACGTCAAAATTAAACTAATAGGTAAACGACAAGATCATAGTGGTTCCAATGTCGATGACAGCAGCGTTTCGTAAGATAATAAATCCATTTTTTATTGAATATTAGCATATAACGATTTGTTGAAGATTTTTGAATGAAAAATATTTTCAAATGGTGTGGCTATTAATTAATGTTGCAAAATTTACGTTTATGACGACAAATGAAAAAGTTGTTCAAATACCAATGTCTGTGCGAGATGTTGATGAATGCAATCCATATTTTTTAATCATTAAAGACGAGCTTTATAAAAACTTCGTCGCATTTTGGACAAACCATCAACGTTTTTCGAAAAAATGCAATTCTCAAACATGTTCGAAAGTCTTCGTTGTTGATGGTCATCAGAAAGCCAACAGATTAGTTTGCCAATATAAAGATGTATTTGATTGCAGCATTCCAGAGTTAGGACCAGTTCAAATGGGTTGCTTGTATTCTCCGCTGAGAAATGGTATGCTTGCTAAGTACTTGTATGTCTATACTCAGGATTAACCATTCCAGTCAGATCTTAAGAAAACGTCGGCTTTTGTCGGAAAGTATCGGAATGTATGGTATAGGAATTCGACAGAAAGTTATCAGATATGTTGGAAATTCCGTCGAAACTCTGAAATCGGACACATTTCAATATTCGACAACTTTCCGTCGGATTTCTGTACCAAAGATCCGACGCTTTCTGCCAAAGTCCCATCGGATCCGACTGGATGGACGACCTGGGTATATTCACTAATACTCTTTATCATAGCGCCAGGCGTTAATGACAAATACTGTCAACATCATCAACCAGCAACATTAGCTTCAGAAGATCAGATGGCAAGTGTGAAACATCGGAGAGTTGAAGATGACAAAGAACAAACGTTGGACAAATTAGCACTGATAGATTATATAAAGAATGATGGCCAGTATGATGATAGCCTTTGTAATGTATTCCGTTCTGGAACAAATGTTAAAGGCAAAGTCAGTACTTACGGATTTTTAGCTACGTTTTTAAGTTGTGCTGTGATAGTTGGTTTCACAGAGCTGCCATGTTCCGAAGGAAGTTAGTGAACATTCACTCTTTCATCTTGCTAATAACTAACACTTTCTTCTTTATCTATCTTCAACAAATAGTGCGACGAGTTCTGCACCATATTTTAACAATAACGCGATTTGCTCCATTGCCCACCGCTATGTGTTATGATTGTGCCTGCACGCTGAAATTATTTATAAAAAAACATTTTGGAACGGAAGACTTAAAATCAACAGATTTCACAAGCTTTCTTACGTCTCTCACTATGGCAGTAGATCGTTTTCACGTCAAAAATCACACAAGACCAATGTGTAGAACAGTGATGAGACCTGATCATTCATGTCACAATGAGATTTATCAATCTATTAACACACAAGTTGCTGAGCAGATGTTTTCTTACCTGTCGCAATTCAAAAACTCATTTCGAGGATATAATTATCCCAAATCAAGCATATTCTATACGATTCTTTTTCATCTAAAAAATTGCAAAACAACAGGTGTTAGTTCCTATGATCAAGCAGTTTGAAAATGTTTATTCTATTTTACTATGGCATCATTTGATGCTATCGATTTTTATCTCATTTTTATATACTTTTTCTCGTTGAGTATCGATTTNTCTTACCTGTCGCAATTCAAAAACTCATTTCGAGGATATAATTATCCCAAATCAAGCATATTCTATACGATTCTTTTTCATCTAAAAAATTGCAAAACAACAGGTGTTAGTTCCTATGATCAAGCAGTTTGAAAATGTTTATTCTATTTTACTATGGCATCATTTGATGCTATCGATTTTTATCTCATTTTTATATACTTTTTCTCGTTGAGTATCGATTTTATTCATAAGTATACATTACATCCCAAAATATCTATTATCTCACATTCTCATTGGGCTTTGATCGATATATATAAGTTTTAAGATCATTTAAATTTTAAGCTTGAATATGAATGATCAATTTCTCATTGCTGACTACGGTCTAAATGACGAAATGGGTAAACTTCTGATTGCTGGCTATGATTTATATGATGAGAGAGGTAAACTTCTGATTGCTGGCTATGATTTAAATGACGAGATGGGTAAACTTCTGATTGCTGGCTATGATTTAAATGACGAGATGGGTAAACTTCTGATTGCTGGCTATGATTTATATGATGAGAGAGGTAAACTTCTGATTGCTGGCTATGATTTATATGATGAGAGAGGTAAAATTCTGATTTCTCTGATCTTTCAGTTTACTTCTGGCGATTTGACTCAAAACAGTAATTTATATACCCATCCAAATCCTTGCCTATTATTTCATCGCGTTGTAAAAACTATGAAAATTTTTGAAATTTACAAATTTTAAGAATGAAAATTTTGGATATTTTTGGCATGGAACTTTTAAAATATAAATGAATTTGATATTTGCCACCCCATGAGAACATATCTATCATTGACGGTATGAGCAGTAAAGAGAGAAAGCAACGAAATAGGATGCATGTTTATTCTTATTTTAGGCAGGTATGAGATGAAATGAAATGAGAGGATGCTTATAACGTAAATCAAATCAATGGTGAAATAATGTTACTACTGTTTGTTTTTCTCTTTACTTATAGGTAGAAAAAATACTCCTATCGCTGAAGATATGAGCAGCGAAGCGATGATGTAGCACAATTTGTTTTTTGGAATATGTTTTTGACTTTGTAGTCGGATTATTTATCGTACATGGTTATTATCCATTGATTTCATTGATATTCAAACAGTTTCATCATCATCACCACCACGCAAATGTGAATCTCTTCTTGATAATCAAAGAGTAATTTTATTAAAAACTAAAGGAGAACTCGAAAAACATAAGAAAAAGCCAACATTTGATTTATTTGATCTTCTTTTTTCATCTTTACCATTACTTGCTCATGCAATTTGGTACTGTGTAATACAATCTTGAGGGCGAAGGTAAGATATATAACTGCCATAATCGATTTCGAGCCTGTTAGAGTTCATTGTCAAATGGTATAGGCTTAAATAAGATCAAAAAACATCAAAATAATAGCATTGAATCGAAATCAATTGAAATGACTGCAAAATCTTCAAAAGAGTAGTCGCTTATTGTATAGCTTGTTTGAATGTAAAGATCAGATGAAATGTGTTTGTCGTTGAAGGTAGAGATGTTGTGATGAGTAATTGTTGATGATTTGAATGTATGATAGATAGGAAGATTCGCGTGTTCGTGTATGTTGCCGTTGGTACTTGGTGGAATTCGTTTGAGTAATAAACAGTTCGATGTGTTCAATTGTGTTTGGTTTTTGTGGGTAAGAAATCTAGAAGAAAAGAAGAATTTTATTATGCGTTATGCTTGAGAGTTTTGGATGAATGTAACAAAATAAGTTGTATTTGGAAGAAGGTTTATTTGTATTATCAGTTGAAGTTATTTCTGCGAATCGTTTGCTTATGGTTGATGATCTATTGGATTAAAAGATGTTGCTAGATGATATTATTTCATGTAATTTGCACGTTCTATCATATGCTGTCGACGGTTTTCGATAGCTTCATGCACACGTTTCTGGTGTTCAGATGTTGTCTCGATATATCGGTTTTGCACGTAAAACTTCTCCTGTTCTGTTTGTATAGTTGTTTTGATTTGTTCCAGTTCTTTCTGATGGATAAAAATAGCTTCTTGAATAATATCTTTTCTCAAAGTTGATAGCATTTCAGCTGTTTTCAAGGAAGTCTTACAAGGTAAGGTCCCCAGGTGTGTCCCAAGAATTTCAATGAAAACGATGTGGATTTGCTAAGTCAAATATACCTATCTCAGGTATGAAACAATTAGCGGCTACCGCTGCTATAACTAAAAGTTATAGCCAAAACACTTTCCAAGAAACTAGCACATGTACTACACTATACAGGTTTTTCTTTTAAGAATTTTTCAAAGTTCTAGTGCGTTTTTCGCTAGGTATTATATACTTCGTTCGGTTTTGCATGCTCTGTATAACATGCGTTAATAGAACAGTCAATGAATGTCAATATATGTTAAGTATATGAAGAACGAGAGGATGACACATGTCATCCTCTAATAGTGTAACATCTATGTTTTCACTATTTCTTTGTTTTTGTGATATCCATCGTTTTTGTATTTATATATTCGTTCGTCCTTTCGCCCTATAAAATAGACCGCTTTTGGTTTAAATAAAGTATACGATAACCTTCACGATCTCTGGCCTGATACAATACCGTGTCTCTAATGCAAATATGATTAATGTTAACAATATTCTTTACATGTTTAACAATCTGGTGCGTCAAAAGTATCCAGAACTCGCTCAAAGTGAACCATCATGTAAAGATCATGAGCTGGCGGACCAGCTGTTTCTGTTTTTTAATCATCAATTATTAAATTCAACAGAACCCCTGGTCGACCATACTGTAAAATTGGATTTTGATGAATATGACGATTGTAGTGCTGATTATCATGAAGAAGATAAGAATGATGCTGCTTCAAACGTCGATGGTATTAAATATCCTTATGATACAATGTGTGCTATCGTAGAATATTCAAAAAACCATACTTTTAATTCAATAAATAGACGATATAAACAAATAAAATATAAAGAACAATTACGCCGCATCAAACAATACGTTAATGTTGAAGGTACGAAAATACAAAAACTACAACGTGTTGATGACTTTGTTTATGCAGAATTTATTCGTTTGCGACGATGTTGTCTACCAATACACGATTTAGATTTACGGCGCTTAGCTATTGAAAAAACGCATGATTTAAATATCGTTGGTTTTAAGGCGTTTCATCATTGGATATTCTACTTCAAACGTCGTCATCAAATTTCATCAACAAAAGTGACAAAGTTGGTAACCAAAAATCATTCAGAAGATCGCGATAAAATATTGAAATTCGCCGAGAATTTCGTCCAAACAGTAAGAAATACGATTTCAGATTATGCTGCAGATCATATATTGAATAGCGATCAAAGCAGTTTCAAGTACGTTGTTTACGAGTGGAAGGAAATTAAATAGAAAATAGCATTTTTGGCCTTTCAGTTATGATAATCCATCAACACGAACTCTCGCAATAAGCGGTGAAAAAATAATAAGAGGCCACGTCAAATCAATGAATGCTGTTACTCATTCATACACGATCATGACGATCATTCGTATGGCTGGAGAATTGATTGAGCCGATTTTCATATGTTTACAAGAATCTACAGGAAAACTAGGACCGCCTGTTAAACAATCAATTTATCAAGCGAGTAACATTCATGTTAGCTGTAGTAAGAGTGGAAAACTGACTAAAACACATATTCAGTATTGGGCTGAAAATGTTTTAAGTCCATCGATTTCTGAAGATTGTTTACTGTTGCTGGACTCCTGGTCAGGTCAGACTGATCCTAATATTTATGATGATATTTTCATTAAAAAATCACTTGTAAGCAAATGCAGATTCCACCAAAAACAACCGATGATATTCAGCCATTGGATCGTTATTTTTTTCGACAATAGAAATATTTCAAACAAAAGATTTATGATTGGGTGGCCATTGATCAAATAAACATTGACATCTGTTCTAGAAACTGCATTTTAAAAAGCATTCTTTGATACATAATCACCTATCAGCTAAAACATTCTCACCTATGATCAAATATTCTTGTTATTCGAGTGGCTACATTTTAAAATATCCTGGTCATTTTGAGAATGTTCATGATGTGTGTTTTTCTTTCGATGAAGACTTCTGTTCTACGGTAGCGTGCGATGACTACTCTTTCATTTGATGCAACCATTGCCGACGTATTCTTTGTTTCAACCACTTTTTTGTAAATGATCATAAGCATTAATAAAACACTTAGAACTACCAGTACTTTATGAAACGGCATGCAACTCAGTTATAAATATCGTGGTTAAAGAAAAAATTCTTATGACAAAAATCCTCAAGAAAAGTATTCTTGAGAAAAACTTTGTTTAGCGAAGTACATGTGCTAGTTTCTGGGAAAATGTTTTGGCTATAACTTTTTGTTATAGCAGCGGTAGCCGCTAATTGTTTCATACCTGAGATAGGTATATTTGACTTAACAAATCCACATCGTTTTCATTGAAATCCTCGGGACATACCCGGGCACCTTCCCTTGTAAGATTCGAACAATTGCAAAAAAGACGTCTCACCTATTTTCCCAACGGTATATCAGGAGGAGCTGATATTTTGGTTTTCATAGTAAATTTTCATGGGCTTTCGACTGAGAGAGTCAAATAGAAAATCTAAAAACTTCCTACAGCCGGCATGGTCGGTATTCTGATAGACCCGCTCTTAAGATACTGCGAACAAGCTTTAGAAACTTGTTGAAAGCATTTATCCGTTCAAAGTAGTTTATTATCTGCATCAGTATACAATAGTATTACTGGGATATAATAATATCTTGAGGGTGTGGATAACGATGAAGAGAAGAGTAGTATACCGTTAGCCACACCAAACACTCATCCTCATCGTATAGGCCATTTTACGTGTTTCTTCAATCTATTTTGTGAAAATCTTCCTCATTTTATTATTTCATTAAACAATAAAAAACAGAAATCTTTTCGATTGTACATTAAGCAACTGCTTCAATGTTTGATTGAATATATAAAGCCCTTAGTGTGATACACAAAAGCATTCCATGGCTGAGTGTGAATGACAGCTCTAATAGAAAACTGATCGTTTTAATATCGATATTGGATTTTGAAAGCCAGAGTGTTGTTTCTGCTCAGACTAGAAATAATTTTACCTCAACTGGATGAAGCCGAATGGGTTTGTAAAGTGTTAGAATGAAAACTGATGAAAACGTAAAGAATTTTACAAGGAATTACGAAGTCCATCTTGGAGGGCTTTTCACTTGAATATGTGTCTTGACTTTGTGGATGATCTTCCTGTGATAAAAATTTCGAGCCCATTGGACTCACCGTCTTCAAAATTGGTAAAGCGAGAAAAAAAAAGGTTGGGAGGATGTACCCTAAAGCAATTAGTGATTTGTGCTGCTACAAACAGTAAAAGCGGTAATACCAGTGTTGAACGAACGGCACGTGAACATGTAACAAAAGCGTAAACGAACTTACAATATCAAGCAGAAGAATACGACTGTTCAATTTGTTTGAGTCGGTTATTGTGTTTGTACGTCTATTCCAACTCTATGATGGCATAGTTTGATCGAATACTTTCTGATCATAGCAACCAGTCGCGGAACGACTATTTGAAGGATCATTGTGAGTCCGCCGATCAAACTAATAATAGTAGTGATAATATAGAAAATATCGTACTTTTCGGTGTACGTATATTTGCATTCAATCGGATGACACGTTTTATAGTAAGCTGGGTAATTAACTTCTGAAAACCATTGTTCTGTCATCAATTTTTGAGACATAACACTAACTGGTGTAGTAATATTGTATTGACTGAACAGTGAAGTTTTCAATGCAGTCGCATTCATAAGAAAAGAAGTGTAGTTGTTATATTGGGCTCGCGTTTGCAGATCGTCAATTGAGCTCTGAGTATAAAGTAGTTGCAGATTCGACTGGAGGATTGCGTCGACAACATAACAACCGACCATGAAGCCTTGAACGGTGTATATAGATGACGGTAGAAGGCCGCCATATATAGCAGCCGGTTCAGCACATGCAGCATCAGTGTCGCATGAACATGCTCCATTATTGTATGTTTCATACAATGGGTTCACTAGCAGATATTCGTTGCCCTGATCCATAGCATTCAGAATCATCGAGCTTTTCAAACCAGACATGAGACCATTAGCTTGTGTGGTGTCACGAATCGTTTGCAATGAAGTAGCAAATGAGTTTTCCGTAGTCGAAATGAAAAGACTGATGAGTACATGGCCTCGTCGAAGAACTTCATTCGATGAAAGAAGTTGAGTGGATACAAATGGCACTATTCCAAAATCCAGCAAACCATTTTCAATTGCCTCAATTGAGAGTTGACATAATGATGCAAGAGTATTGAACATGGCAGAAGCACGCACACGAAAATCTTTACCTAGCAATGCCGCAGTTTTCTTTGTAAAAACGAATGCATTAAACCATATAGGGTTGATAAAATCGCTTTGGCAAATCTGATGGAAACTTGGTTGTGCCAAAAGAAATAATCCTTGTGGAATGGAGATATTTTGACATGGACATGTTAGTGTGTCTGCGTGGCTGGCGTAAAGAGAATAATATTGCTCAATAGATGGATTGCTAACCGTTACCGTTTTTGCTACTTCCACTTGAGAAGAATAGACAGTGAGAGTGATAAGAGAGACAGCAAGAAGAATGATGAATAGACGAGTTGATATAATCTGGTCCTTTACATCGCGTTTTCCAGGAGTATCAGGTCCTTGTGAACTGAACAGATTGAGTTGACGCAGTTGTTTGAGAGCTGATCGAATCGAACCGGTAGTTGATACAGAAGTTGAACGTGGTTCGTTACGTTGATGATAGCGGATCTTCAGTGTATGAACACCTTCAACGAGAGGAGGTATAACAATTTGTAATACTTTAATTAAGCCACCGATAAGACCGAATATTGTTGTACAAATGAGCCAAAAAGAATTATGCTCGACTAGTGTGTAAGTGCATCGTTCAGGTCGACAGTTTTCATAGAAGGCGTCGTGTGAGATCGAGTGGTTCCATTGATCAACAAACAGTGCATGAATCATGTCATCAACTGTCGAATCTATGTCAAAGTGAACAAGTTTATGCTCATCAATGGCAGTAACGTTTGTAGTGACAAGCCAGAACGTCAAAAAGTTCACACATGATTGGTTGAATAAACAAACAAATGTTGAATGACGTATTCCATCATTTAACAAGCAGTCTTGAGAAAGACCGGGAACATCAAACAACGGAATGCTATCGTCTCCAGAAGCGTTGTTAAGATAGATGCTCATCGATCGTGTACACTGTACTGTAGAAAGACATTGACATTTTCCAGATGACGTGTAAAGATAAATTGGATAAATTTCAATGGGATAGAATGGGTAAGTGCCAATAGTGGAAAACCCACTGTTGGTCTGATCATTACTCACTAGTCGATTGCTCTGCGTCGTGTTTGACATGAGAGCAAGGTTGTGGGAAAATGAGCGAGTAGTTGAAGAGATGAAAGTTTCGACAATGGCTTCTGCTTTTGCTTCAAAGCTAATTGGGGTAAGAGCTCGATCGGCAATGAACGATGTACTGTTAAACGAGACGAGACTGTGTTGGATATATTTTAACGCAAATTGACAGTAGGAGTAGAGACCATTAAAGTATTTAGCTGCAATAGAACGGAAATCTATTGCAATATAGTTGTTGTGATGGGTTATAGAGCTGATCCATGAGCTGTTAACAAATGTCGAAGTGCATAGGGGATGTAGGACATATGAAACATGAATCAAATTAGCATAGGCCGTTGTCAATGTAGAACATGGACACGAGAGCGATGAATTAAAAAGCTGATTATTTTGCAATTGCATGAACTGCTCGTATGTTGGAGACTCTACTTGAAATGTTCTAGTAGTTTGTTGACTAACATAATAAGACATGAGAATGATAAAGGAAACCACTAACAGGACAAAAAAGATCCGAGTAGAAGTTAATTGCTGTTGAATTTGCAATTCTGTAGAGTCTTGTTTAACAAAAAAGTTCATTGCTCGAAGACGTTCTAGTACGGAACGATGAATTAAACCTGGAAAGAGAAACGATCATTGCTTTTAGGACAGATGATGCACAGCAAAGTAATCTACACGAGTGTTGCACAAATGCGTGAGTATCAAGAGATGAGAGTCTAAATATAACACAACTAGAGGGGGTACCCGCTGCAAATAAGAAATATCTATGTTGAACATCTTATGTGTTGAAGAGCTACAACAGATAGAAAATCAATATAATTCAAATTTCTACGGTCCCAGTCCTTATTTTTCTCGCCATGCATTGCATAAAATGGCAGTTTCGGTTATATCTCTTTATGCAAAAGAGTTACCGAAGCTAATCTCTGTCTCATAAATTATGAAAATTTTCTCCTTTTCTCTGATATTCATTTTTCACTTCAGCTATTCATTCATCGACCTCTTTCTCACTCTCACGTCATTTCGTGTCGTATATCCATCGAATTCACCCACTCTCAATGTTTATCTTAATCTTTTGAGATCCTGTAACGCTATTGTTGAGTTTCGCAGATTATCTGTAGCATGCACAGAACTATCATAGGCGTAGAGAACACATGGATTGTTGTATATGAGCGCTCAGGCAGCCTTCGCTATTAATATTCTCAATTTTCGAAATTCCGCAATCCTATTGGTCAGTTTCATAGATTGCCTGCATGAAACGCCTGTTTCATTTGTTCTCAGGACAAAGTACGTGGATGTCGACCTTCATCTGGGCTCATGGAAGCATCGTGGAAAGTTTCACGCCGATAGCTATTACATGGGCGGAATGCATAGCGAACAAAAAATATATGTAGAATAGATCAGACATACCTTCACCAACGCCTTCAAGATTTGGAGATTGACGTAAAGCTCTGATTCTGCGTCGAACGATCTTGACAATTCGAAGTAGAAGAAGTCGAAGAACTTTCACCACACCACCAATGAGTGCGATCAATGTAGTGATGACATAAATGACATCGAACCGAGACTTATATGTATATGAGCACATGGTTGGGAAACATTGGGCAAAATATTGCGAATGTGAAATGTTCTGTATCCACTGTTCGGTCATTGCAAAAGCGAGAATTTGGTCAATATTTGACGTCATGTTGAATTGGCTCTCGATCGAAGCATTGAGAGGAAAGACAGGATAAGTCAGTGCTACAGACGCTTGAAGATATTGTTCGATAGCTGTCATGCACGTCGTAGAATAGAAGCATTCGAGAGTAGAACGCCGCGTGGCTTCAACAAGGTAGCAGCCTGTGACAAGACCAGGTATAGTGAAAGTCGCAGTCGTTGTGTTATAACGTCGATCTTCTACCCTAGAAGGTGCAGTACAAGTTGCAGTCAGACCACAGCGGCATGTGTTATTCACATATTTTCGAGAATAACTACTGATTGAAATGTATGATTGTCCCACAACCCGATATAGCTGGAACAAAGCATTAGTCATTAAACCAGATAGTAACGTGTTCGTTAGAGTAGTGAACGTGACAAGATCGAACGATTGATAAAAAGTGAGTTCAGTAGTCGATCGAAAATTGTGAATTATTGCATTGATTTGTTCATTGAATACTGGTTCCGTTAGAGCCTGGATCGTTATGAAATTGGTTAAGCTGAATGTTTCTAAAGCACTAGCAATTGTACTGTTTGCAAGACGGCAAAATGAAGCAAGTGTCTGAAAGAATAAACCTCCAGTTCGACTAAAATCATCTGCCGCGTACAAATCTGCATTTGAACTGATGTGCTCAATCCATTCTGATGTGACAAAACCGGATGTACACAACTGATGGAACTGTGGTTCAAGAATGATAAAAGTGCTTTGCTGAACAGCCACATTAGTACATGGACATCGCAGTGTGTCAGGATAACTAACAGCGAGGCTTTGAAACTGTTGGTATAACGGATGCTTTATCTCGATGGTATGAGTTACATTCACTTGACCCGTATAAACGACGAGTACTAGAATGACCAGTATTAGTAGTACAACGAAAATACGTGTGGCAATACGTTCGTTTTGTACTTCATATTCATTGTTGACTGTTAGCGGAGATGCGAAAAAGTTAAGAGCTCGAAGACGGGAAACCAATCTTTTGAGCCACTCCATTGTTTTCTCTAGTTGATTCGAAAGTAAAATAATATTGGCCTTACTTAAAGGTTTTGGTTGTCAAACAGAAAAACTAGTCTCCAATGCATAAAAGAAAGGAATGTGTGTTTTTTTTTGACGTCAAAACTTAAGTGAACATTTCCTTACATATCTATGAAAATTCTCGTCTACCATCGAATGTTGAAGCCTATTTTTTTCCTTATATTTGCCCAAAATGTTAGATTTGTGAAGCAGCAAAAAAAGGACAAACGCTTTATTGGTTCGTGACAAAAACATACATTTTAGGTGAAACGATTCATGTAACTGAACACTTATAGGACGATTTTGTCAAGTTGAAGTAATAGAAAATTGAGTTACAGAAATGTGACATAGTTTCTTCGTAATTACGCAGCCTAGAAAGTTCGTCGATTCTATGGAAGATGCGTCTTTCTCAGAGAAGCATTTAAAACGTTCAGTAAAATAAGCAACGCAACGCTCTAACAGAACAGAAGAAAACACCGAGAGCGATGTGCTTTTTTTCTCTTTTTTTAAAAATCTGTGTTACTTCAAACAAAACATTCTAAACAATACTTTCAGTTATTATTTTGAAGTTTTTATAAAAGAATCTTCATACAAATGTGTCTTAATTAAAACGTCACAATATAACTTCGTCATACGATGATGCTAAAGTATGAGGGCGAGGATGTGGATGTGTATGTTATGTTAGCCCGTTATGATCACAAGTCTGTTCGAATTCGACTATAAGTTGATCTAAATGTTTTATTTAACAAGCCCGTAACATGCTTGCACACGCGGAAATCATATAGGCTAGAAAGAAGATCAAAAAGAAAAAAGAGAAAGCATCCATACTCGAACTCTCAATAATCGGATAGTGTGAGTGTGTGCGTGAGAGAGTGTAAATCAGTATGAAACAGATTACTCTGCTAATTTTAACTCGTGCTTTTCAGCAATCGATCTTCAATATATTTTGAAATTTTAAATTTTCACACACAATTAAATATCTGATATCTGATAACTAGGTAGAGCATATAGCTATACCTATAGCAGACTATCCACTAAAATTTAGAAATTTTAAATTTTAATAGTAAACATCTGGATATCTGGTCAGTTTATTACTATGAAGGTCCACATATTATATTCAATATTTAATATATAAAAGAATTTGAGAAAAACACGTGGTCTTCCTATATGATGATAATTTTTAGGCTCTCACAATAGAAGTAAAACCTCAGTTTGAATTTGAAATTTGAAACAGTTTGAAATTTTAAAAAATTTAAAAGTCTTATTTTTAGAAACTAGTAATAATTTGAGATTCTTCACCACATGCCGGACGGTTGAAAATATATAATCGGAAAAAAAGAAATTATGATTAGTTGCTCTTTTCATTTAGAATTACCGGAAGAAAAATCAACTCAAGATGACTTGTCATCAACAAATGATGATGATGATGATGATAATGACAACGATCTTGATCAGACAGCTGCTTTGCTGAATAGTAATAACTTGCTATATCTTCCATTAATCTTTTCAGTCCAGGGTAATGCGAGTCATTCTCGACGAGCGCTATTTATTTATTTTCTACTTAGGATATTTTATAAGAAATCGAATCTTTGTTTCACACTTAATTTATCGATTGATATTTGTAATAAAGTTCAATTCAGTATAAAGATATNCGTCCGTCTGTGATTCATCGAAATTCTTGAATCCCGCTTTGAATTGACACGTCAATTGAGTTGCACAAGAACAATCTAAACCTTTATTGGTGCGAAATACCACGCCGTCCATTGTTGTTTGTGTCAGATAACCGCGTGGATACTCAATAAGAATTTTATTACCTGCGATAACACTTTGAATTAATCTTGACTGTTCTCGAAAAGTTTCTCGTATTTGATTAATAAATAAAGTAATTAATGAACTTATTTCTTCATCAAATTGATCTTTGTTCATAACTTCAGATGCAACAAATTCTGTTGAATTAAATTGTTGTAGATTATTTCCGATTATTCTTTGACTTGAGTTACAAAGAGCGGATAAAAGTGAAAAAAGATGACCTGAATAAATACGAAAATCCAGAAATAAATCAAAAGAAGTCCTGTTCCATATCTTTTCGTGAGTGGCCCACAAGTTGGATGCGAAGACACTTGAACATATTTGATGATATATTGGATTGAAACTAATGAATGTTGAATGTTTGATTGTAATTTGACTACACGGACAATGAAAATCATTCAATGACATATTTTTCAAATGTTCGAAATCGATTTGTTTTGGATGAAAAAATAATTCTGATTTTCCTTGATATTCTATTGCTGTATAAGTTGTGAATATCATTAAACAAGTAGTTAAGAGAAGAAAATAAATTTTTGTTGAAATAAGTTCACTTTTTCGTCGATGTTCCTCTGACGAGTAACTATCGAATATATTCGTGTTTCGTAACGAATTAATTATTGATCGGCATAATAGTCGGAGAAGAGCTGTTCGTGATACTATGAATAAGACAACAAAATTCATTTATAGAATCATATTTTCATGACTTACTTCGAATAATATTTGCATCCGCTGGTTGTGTTCGTTTTTTTCTTCGAATAAATGTTACAACATTTGGTATAATTAATATTAAAATAGCTTCTAATCCGCCATACAAACCAATAAGAGCAATTGAAATTTCAATAAAAGTACGTCTTCGATCATGTGTATATTGACAAAACAATGGTTGACATGATGAAAAATATTTTTCGTAAGATTTATTAACTATCCAATCTTTAATAAACAAATCTTTCACTAATTCTTTAATAGTTACATGCCGTGTTGATAGAGATGAATTTAAGATTGTAAAGGAACTATTTTTTAGTGAAGAATAATTCATATAAGATATCACTGACTTGAGACAGCCTTGATGAAATAAACATTCGTTTGTTGATTCCATTAACGATTCAATTGGCTTACAACCTGCTTTCATTCCAGGTACAAAAATAGTTAGTCCTTTATATTTACCAATTGTATCTTCATCTGCATCGAGATAGACTTCGAGCGATGTGTACCGAACGATATTTGCATAGATACCTTCAGGCAATAGACTTACGCTCAATTTAGATTCAAAACACTCGAACGTCATGTAGAGATGTTCAAGATAACGAATAGAAGCCAGTAAATTAGGGTGTATGTAATAAATCGTTTCTATTGCTGAATGTAGTCTGTTACCAATCATAATCATTCGCATTAATTCTAACAAATCATCCAGTAATGGAACTAAATTTCGTCTATATGTATCTATAGATGCGCTGATCTGTAAATCCAATGAATCGATTGAAACCAAATTGTTTGTTATGAATTGTTTTGAATATAATTCTTCGAGATAATCATCAGTTATGTTTTCTGCTTGTTGACATAATGTTCGAAGAAGTTGAAATCTGGCTGATGCACTTCGACGAAAATCTAGGTAAAATAAAGAACTTACATTTTCGAAGAAGAGATAATCAATCCATCGTTGACTGACAAAATCTGATGTGCAGATTTCATAAAAATGAACTGTTATATTAATAAATTCTTTGTATAAAACCACGATATGTTTACATGGACATTGTAAACTATTCGAATATTTCATTTGTAAATTTTGATATTGTTTAATATTTGGTTTATTGATCGTTACAATGAGATTTGATTGTAATGATAATGATAGATATAAAGTAGATGATAATAGAGATAAAAATAATAAAATGATATGAATTCTTGTTGAAAGAATTTCATTACGTTTGACATGTTCATCATTCGTTTCTGTATCAAACAGATTCAGATTTGCTAATTTTTGTCTTGTTCGATTACATCGATCCATTATCATACGTTTTCACTAATGAAATAAGAAATAAAACTGTTGAAATTTTCTTTTCTTTTTATATCTGTTATTGTTGATTTTCTCTCTCTCTCTGTGTACGCCATAGTCCCGTGATTCTTATGAATACTTTAGGAATGACGTCTATCCCATAAAATATTTGACTTCCCTTTTTTTAATGTTTTCTCTATTTCCTTGAGAAAACGAAGAATGTACGTCATGATTATTTATTAGAAACAACAAAAAAAAAAAATCATGTTTTAATACTTACAACTGGAACCCTTCGCTAACTTAGTAATGCAGATGATTTTGATCGTGTGCATGACTAATGTAATTTCACTCTGGGACATTCACTTTTTATTTATTGTGAAAAATTAAAATAAGGATATTTTAGTATTTATTATTATATAAATATATATCTTTCATATTATGCAGATGTTTGACAACTTATTTCAACATTTAATTGAAGTTTTTGTAGTTGATTAGGATTATTTAACATCAAAATAAAGAGACATATGTTTAAAGCTTAACAATAACAACAAAAAAACTTATATTTAAAATTAGAACCGGAGCCACAGTTCCTTCCGAATCTGTTTACTAATACTGAAAATCAACAGTTTCTACCTCGGGTACTGAAAAGGTTATATGCATCCATTAATAGAACGATATTTTTGATTCTGTCTATATAGTTGATGAAGAATCTGTGAACATTTATTAGCGACATGTCGTTAATTGAGATACCTTCTTTTTCCCCATTGATTCGAGATGATTATTACCGGTTTTAGGATCTTCTTATAACATGATTCAAACGATCTAAATCAGTAGATATGAGTAGTAGTTGAGATGATCTTCGAAGTTGCCAATTGATTGTAGTAAATGATCATCCACATTGCATAAACCATTTCCAATAATTAAAGCAAATTTATGTCAATAATTATTACACAGAATAAAATCTTGTGATGTTACCATTTGAAGAATTTCTTAAATTTAAAACACAATAAAAATCAAATATCTGAAGCAAAAAAAATAACTTTTTATTTTCATTGTATTAATGAAGAAATTCTTTTTTTTCTAAAGGGTTGTCAGAAAGTTTCGACCCCTTCTCTGTAAATTGCTGCTATCTACATGAATACATATATAGATAGTTGATTGAAATGTACAGTTTTGTAGAGAATGAGAAGGGTTATCGTCTGGAAAAAACTAATTAAAAATGATGTCATAACTATGAAAAATTATGATCATTTTATTCATGATGACTGAACGAAAAACACGTTACATTTTTTGAAAATGAAAATATACTTCCAATATATGATGTAAAATATGGTTTTCTGTACACTTTTATATGGTTCGATAGAGTTGGACGACCTCTATCAGAATATGAATATAAAAAAATCTCATGATGTTTGAAATACTGAACTTGATGGGAATCAAAAAGACTGATAAATATCCCAGATATCTTACATAAGCGAAAGTATGCGAAACTATCAATATCTTCAAATAATCGACTGTCCTGTCTGTTCAGGAAGCTCGCAAAGGTTATTTTCAACTTCAGGATATGGTACTCCATCTCGAAACATAAAATAATAGTTGATGACTGATGTTATTGGAAGTCACAAGCATCCTCTCAAGCAAGATATGTCAGATTTCTCTAAGCTTTCTGGTTTTCGTCGAATTTCAAATCGAAAGAAGGATCAAAATCTTTCCTTGATATTCATATTCTGATAGAGCTTGTCCAAGTGAGTGCACACCGCTTCACAATTTCGTCAAGGTTTATATGACTTTTGATTCCGTACTATAATTACGATGCTTTGCAATTAAATAATGATGTTAGATGCACATTTAGAGTTTAATGCCATTTGATAACGGACTTTAGTAGGTTCGAAACCGGTCATGGCAGTTTATCTCACCACTAGGCCTAGGACAGTTCCATATTAGTTCCGATCATGGGAACTATGTAATAGTTCTTTTGAATGGAACTGANAGCATTGCAAGAAATATATTCAAGGAAATCGTTCCGGTCGAAAAGCGAAATGTTTCTTGTTGGAATGAATTGCAAGATGATGTGCTATGTAAGGAAAAAATGTTAATCCGTACGTATAATAAAAATTCTTCTCACATCGATTTGACACGTTGATTGAAAACATCATGTTTAGACTTTATGAAAAATTATTTCGGTCCACTTGACGTTGACGAGAAAAAAGTGCATATTAGTATCGTTGGTTGTCTTCGAAATGATCGTGGAAAACAGAAGAGCGTGAAACAACGAGTTCAAGCGGCTCTCAACATCGATCAAACCGCAAGTTATCCGAACGAAATTGACTTTGTCGATGATGACAATCAGATCGACGATGTTCTTGATGATTGATAAAATACATGTGATTCAGTTGATTCTTTCATTTCAAAGATATTTTATTGATATATCTTCTAGGCCCATTTAGGTTGCAATCTCTCTTTTTTCTTTAAACGTATGTTATAGTGTAGCATTTGTTTGTACTTTTTCCTCGAGGAAAAAGTTCTGATTGATCATAAATAAACCACAATTTAGCTATGTTTATCATCATATTTTTGTTGTTTTTTGACTGGCAGATCTAACATCATATCGAAACTGTTTTGAAAAGCCCTGTCTTAGATAACTAATTGAGGTTGAGTATCCCATTGCTGATCATGAGTCTGCGCTTTCAAAACAAAAAAACGTACTCATTCACGTTGCGTTCTTTAAATCTAATGAATGTACATTGAGATCAAGTTCAACATAACGTAGATATCTTATTTTCAAAAATAATTTTCTTTTTCTAATATTTCAGATTTCAATGAGACCAAAAGCAACACCATTCAAGAAAAAAGAAGCTGTGAAACGAAAAAATCGTGGTCATTGGTCAATACATAAGTATGAAATCATAGCCAAAAGAGCTTTACGAAATACTCAACTTGATCAATCTCAAATCCTCAATTTGAATAACCGTGACACAAGAATCTCAACAGCTGATGATTTACCGACTAATTCATCTGTAACTGTGTCAACAGACGATGGAATCGATATGTTACCTAATGATAGTATTAACAATAGTTTTCCAAACGAACATGTTGACGAGTTGGAGGATGATGGCATTGATTTTTGCAGTACTTCAGACAATTTTGTCTTCAATGAAGATGAAGAGAAAGAAGAAGATCATAACGATGAAACTGAAGATGATCTAACAGAAGAACAAATGAAATTCGCCGATGAATTTATTAACACAGATACTTCGTCAATGCCAATTCGTGAATATGATGAGTTAGTAAGTAAAAGAACCCTGAACATGGAATTCAAATTGTACGTTCTACTTCAGGATGTTGCAGTTGCATTAATATTGATAAAAAGGAAACACAAATGCACAAATAGTTTAATCGACGATATTTTAAAATTATTCACAGTATTGAAAGTTCCACGTATTCCATCAACTTGGTTTAAACTTAAATCATTAATCAAACGATCAGAAGAAG